GTTTCTTTAAAATTAGCACATATAAGAACATTTTAATCGGACAAGGTCGACCTTTAAATATCCTACAATCAATCCAAGTTAGGACAGTTATTTGCACGTTTTCGTAATAACACAGCAAGAACTACACATAGATTATTTTCATTCAAAGTCATACTTTCCCTGAAAGCCGACGATCCTCGAAACGTCTATGGCGTAACACAACCTAACTCAGCAAACTTAACTTTTCAGTTTCCGTCATAAAAAAGTTGATATTCTCTCTACTTGAGGGCTTGTTTTTCGTGATTACCCTTGTGTTTGCTGACATCTAAAAAATAGACCTATGTCGTCACTACCATTACTTTGTTTGCCAAACAACTACTATGGACCAACTATCGTCATGAAATATTAAACATTAAACTTTCTCTGAAAAGAGAAAGAAATTTCATTAGAAATTTTATATGGAATGGGGTTCCAGAAATAGACGCATGTAGTTCAACTTAAGTCCACTGAATTTTTAAGTCAACTTATCACCACGAACCGAGCGAATTTCATTAAAAAACATTAATAATTCGCCTTTTTTGGTATATAGAGAGAGGTTCACATTTCCTGAGAAGCCTTATATGCGGTGGTGTCCAAAAAGTAGACCTACGTCGTCCGGCCGGGTTGATTTCTATCAATCTCTAGCCAAGTTATTTTTATGAACCAATTTTCATCATGAAATACTGAAAACTACATTTCTTTACCGTGTAAGGATTCAGTTTTTGCACAAAAGAATATAGGAGAGGAGGTTCAAAAAATTGTCTCCGCCGAGCGAAATTTTGCATACCATATCAAAAATTGTGACGTGTAGCTTGAACACAAAAATATATGGACAGACATAGGACGGAAAGACGGACAAGTATAATAATACATAATAAAGACAAGGTAGGTGTATAAGGCAAGAGCTTATAAAAATGATTATCTTAAACATACTAAAGTTTGTTATAATAAGGTACCTAACGAATTCGAAGAACTTTCAGAAGAATTATAATGTTTTGACAGTTCTACGATTAAGATGACGAACACACATGCATTAGATTGGTTGAAAAGCTCAATATTTCAGATGCTTTAGTAGACAGCACAAAATATTTTATAAAACAGTTATGACCATTGTTTAGATGGAAATTATAAATAAATAAACTTTGCTACTACTGGTTCAATCCGATTGACTTGCAACTTAACGGTACATTGCGTCATAATGTGATCGCGTATTAATAAAAAAGGCTATTGTTTTCTAAAAACATTGGAATCATTCCATCAGTCTTATCTTGACCTCAACGACAGCAACATAAACTTAAGATGACAACTTCTTGGGAAAGCAAACATAAAAGCCCGCATGTTAACATAAAACCATGCTCCCGTTATGAAGTGTAGAGCAAATTCGTCTTGCATGTTAGTGTTGCTCTTACAGGCAAGAAGGTATGCGCATTTTTTTTCTTCAGAATTTCGACACAGGTTATTAAATATTGCTGCTAATTTTCGAAATGATAATGACGTTGCGTGAAGTATAGAAAAATTTTTGATATAATTTAAAGATTTAAAGAATATTACAAGTGAAATAAATTTATAAAGTTAAGAAGAAGAAGAAATATGACTTCAATGAAAACATGGCTTGAAAAAGTTACAGCATAAACCTTCCGCTCTAAAATAATTGTTTTTTCATGATTAGCCGATGTTAGGAAACGTTTTGATACTCCAGTTGAGGCAACAATCTCTACAGAATGAAGAAAAAGAAGAAAGAAAGAAGTTGTTGGCAAAGAAAAGCTAAAGATAACATTGTCAACAACGACAAGTTTTTTGTTGATCAAAAATCACACAAATCACCTGAGTCTCAGTCCGTTTATGACATTCTAAGGAATGTGCACAAAATTTCGTCCCAATTTCCATAAAAGCGATTACCATTTCGGTTCTTTAAAGCAAGGTAAGGTTGCATAGCAAAGCGCGCATTCACGACAACAAGACCGAGTGACGTTTGCATTTGATTGAAAAAGAAATAGTGCAATAATGCGTTAAATTACGCTTAGCGCTCTTTACCAATTATTTATATGTATATTATAATATCGCTAGCGTAAGCATTTTTGCGAATATTCCAAGTTATTTTAGCGTAAGAAAAGAAGTAGATAAGTAAATAATTTTCTGCAATAGAACACAATTGACATGAATGCTTCGTGCCGAGTTCAATTTGGCACTTTAAGAAATTCCATTCAAAATTCATTTGTTTTTATCCATCAGAAAAGCTATTTGTCAAATTCACCTTGAAAATCAAGCGGCGCTAATTTTGGCGAAAAGAGCCGAGCAGATATTTAGAAGGAACTTATTCTGAACACACAATTTTACACATTTGCACGGAACGCTATCATTACAAATTTTACGATATACGAGTTTAAGGGAAAATAATGTACACGATCTGGCTCCATGTCCGCTTGCGAAAGGTATGAAAGAGAAGCGTATATAGCGGATGTAATTTATTTTACTATTAAAATATCTGGAAAGTAATTTAATATTCTTTTGTTGAAAAATTTCGAATACTTTTAAAACAAAATGTACATAAATTCAATATAAAGTTTTAATTACGTTTCTTTTATAATGAGATTTAAAGTTTTCATGAAAGTCCTTGCATTCGTAAGCGTTTTTCAATTTCCTGTGATAAAAATGTTGTGTTTTTGTTTTTTTTTCTTTGCCGAGTACCCCTTAAGCTCTTGTCTTTACACATTCGTACAAAAATATAAATTAAATTTCGATTTCCAATACATTGCAGTTGCGGTCAGCTTATCAATCATTTATTTAAACTTGTGTTACCAACTTGCGACAATGCATACTTCTGTTGAGAGAATTGGTTTTTATATGTACTTCAAATTAAATTATCAAAGCAATCAATGTAAGAAAATATTTATTTATCATAGTTTTTCGTATCGTAGAAAGAGAAAATTTTTAAAAACATTTGTTAAGTTCATTAAAACAAATATCATAAATAAATTGAAGGGTTATAATCGTGATCAAATTTATTACCCATTATTAAGTAATGGCTAATACAATTCTACAGCCGCCTATGTTGTAATGTGTAAGAAAATTATTCTCCGTACTAATGCTTACTTTTCATGAGAACTTTTTTGTGGGAAGAGACCCGAAAAATAGACGCACATTAGATGGGTCAATTAGTTGCGTTCACAATTCAACAGATTCTATTGGCTTTTGCCTGTTATCGAATAGTTTTCGAATGCTGCCGCATTAGAAACTTGATACTTTCAAAGTGAAATTGTCTTCGAGCCATTTTCGCCCTTTATGCGAACGGCTGATTGATTGAAATATGACTACATCGGCAAAGTGATTATCAGAAGGAGGCAGGCTTGGAGAAGAAGTTACGATCGGGCAAAGTTTCACGGCCATGTTGAAGATTATTTTCTTGATTGCTTTTGCTGCGTGCGGACGAAGCTATGTAGTAAATGGTCTTTTCTCTTCAAGCATGTCTCTTAGTTTGATGTTGTTCAAATCTAAGGTTTTCATTAGGCTTTAAAAGTTTGTGCTATTGCTTTCCCATTCCACCAAACGTTCATTGTCCTTAAGACTGCAATTTTTTTGCACGAAGTAACTTGCAAGTAACTTTGAAATTCTTTCATAGCTTATCCCATTTTTATTCCAAGCGAACTTGATGCTGGAGCTGCAAACTAAAATAAAACAACATGCAGTACATTCACCTCTTTGGACCTTGGTGTACACTGAACGGTTTCAGCAATCAATTCCAACGCTTCCCTATATGCTAACGTCTTTTTAAGTGTCATATTGCCATTTGATAGCTAGAATGGTGTATAACTTTAAGCATCACTACGTACAGGCAGAAACAATAATAAATTATAAAATTGCTCGCAAACTTATTGTTACGAATTTCGCTCTTCTCAAATAGAACTCGTACTGCTGGATCGTGGATATTCTTTTTGAGAGAAAAGCATTACTCATAGTTCATTTTGGTAGTACTCTCGACTCAGATGTTCTTGTCCGACTCACTTTGCCTTCCGCAAAGCGTCTATTTGTATACGTTCGTACAAACATATTTCTGGCTTGATTTTTAATCCGTTAACCTGCTTTCCCGCTAATCTTTTTCCTCGGCCGGCATCTGCATGACGCGCCGCGAATATGCATTTGGTTTTCCCCTCCGCACGGAATTTATCATTTGGAAACATAAATTATCCGGAATGAGCTGGATTTAGGATTTCCGTAACATTATTATGAAAAGCGACGCAGGTACTTTAAGATATTAAATTTTTATAAAACTTTTCTACATTTTTGATATTAAACGTCGATGAAACGAGTCAAGAGTTTATGAGAAGATTAAAAGAAACTGCGTCTATTCCTGGTAACCCAAGCCTGGGTAAAGCAAACGGTGCTAGCGGCGAAGAAAACATTACAACGACATAGCCATTATTGCGTTTGGAGTGTTTTGCACAACGATTTACAGTTATATCCGTATAAGCTTAAATAGCGCAAGCATTACAGCCAACAAAAGCGAACGATTCGTTAGTTGACGGTCAAAATAAAATAACCGTGATGTGTCGATTAATTTTACGAAATTCAAACAATAAGCGGCCATTTAGATTTTGCCGTTAATAACCAATGGAGACAGTAAGCCAAAATTTCGCATGAATATAACTATCTGCGATAGTCCTTTTGAAGCAAGATGTTAGTAACACATCCCTTAATATAACAAGTATTCTAGATTTCGCTTAAATTCTATAAAATGTACAAAAATAATTAAATTCGCATATTTTTTGAATTGTGTTCATTACTGACATATAACATTCGTCTGTGATCAGAACAAGCTCGTTCTTTGTTCAGCATCGTGATTAAAACCACTTATATAAAGTATTTTAAAGATTGTTTTAAAAAGTATTTTAAAATGACTTAAAATAGCGACAAATTAGTTTAGGAAAATATTTGTAAAAAATTGAATTTAAGTATACCGAAGGACGGAGCTTGTATATGCCGTCTTAAAGGTATATGTTAACAGTCTTGCCCTGTGACGGGACAAAAGGATAGTTTGCACCGCCGCCAGGACGTGCAGGTGGCCCAACAGCAGGTGGCCCATTTGGAGGTAGCCCATTTGGAGGTGGCCCATTTGGAAGTGCAGGTGGCATACGTGGAGGTGCCGCAGCTGCAGGTGGCATAAATGGAGGTTGCGCAACAGCAGGTGGCATAAATGGAGGTTGCGCAACTGCAGGTGGCCCAAGCGCAGGTGGCCCAACTGCAGGCGGCATAGGTGGAGGTGGCACAGCTACAGCTGGGTTAGGTGCAGGTGATTTAATTGTCGCAGCTTGCCCATTTACAGGCGATTGAGGTGCTTGCCGCGGTCCTCGCAGCATCAGTTGTTTTCGTATTGATGGCCCATGGTCTTGTAAAAAGGCAATTATAAATAAATTAACAAATATAATTCCTCTATGAGGTAATTAGTCGGCTCGAAGCCATTGGGCAACGTATGGGACGTTTATTGGCAGAGAGAATATAAGATTTTCCCATATTATCTTATAAGCCCTAGTACATACCGGCGTGAGGTCCACCGAACGTATCCTCTGATAGTAAATTAGTTAATGCGTCTACACCTATATTTAAGTAAAGAAAAAATTTATATTTATATATGTATATAACCACAATCAGCGCAAAAACATACCTTCCACAAGGATTGGTGAAGCTATCGAGGCCATATCACCTATATTTGTTGGCAGATTTATAAATATTTTGCAATAGTAGCCAATGAGCATAATTACATACCTTTGATCATTGCGTGATGACGCGCTTGCTTTACGTTTGCTTGTAAATAAATAGACATAAGTCATGTAATGCAACTAAGTTTTTCAACGTGTATGTACAATTATTACGAATACATACCTTTGGGCGGCTGGCGATGATGCGTACGCTTTTCGTTTTCTTGTAGATAAAAATAATAAATAGACATAAGTCATGTAATGTGCAAGTAAGTTTTTCAATTATTACGAATGCATACCGTTTGGAGTACTATGTTCCTCGGGCTTGGCGCTTGTTACCTCTTCTGAATTTTTTAAGAGGTACAATTTCAACAATGTAATAAGTTTAATATAGTGCAATAACTACAAACACATACCGGGTTCCGGTTCAATAGGCATAGGAGTAGTATCCTCAACGGCGTTGGTAGAAGGATTAACGCTTGTTCCCTCTTCTGAACTTCCAAGGAGGTACAAGTTCAATAATATAATAAGTTTAATATAATGCAATAACTACAAACACATACCGGATTCCGGTTCACTAGGCGTAGGAGTAGTATCCTCAACGTTGCTGGCAGGAGAAGTGGGGCCAGCATCTGTGGTTACTTCGTCATCCTCTATATATATTAAAGTTATTATATTATATAAATTTCTGGTCGGTGAACCCAGTTAATTGAAATACGTACGAGGCGTGCAATCATTTGGATGCAGAAAGAAAATAATGAATAGCACACTGGCCGCAACGGTCTTAAAATAATTTTCTCCCATCCTTTTTTTTTTTTTTGCAATTGTTTGCGAGAAGGCGCTTAATAGCGCGGCCCTTATATACATAATGGCATTAGTTGCACCATTAAATGTATCAAATTTTTTGGTTTTGCTTCAATTTTCAAAAGAGATTTAATTTAAATTCAAGCGTTCAAAATAATTGAATTTCATTTACATTCGCTACTGTTTCGAATGGTTTCAGTTGTTTACTTAGGCCCCTTTAAACCCATTATAAACTATCACCCATTTCTTCACCAATCATCAACTTTAAGAAAGCTTGATAATAGAACACTTAAGTCTTATAAACATACAGCTTGTCCACTATTACCTTTCATTCAAAATTTACTTAAATTGTTAATTACTATATGTGATGACATTGCTGTAAAGCTTCTGAAAGTTTTGATCAGAACACTTAGCCGAGCAAATTTCATATACATCTTCTGAAGTCAGTTTTACGTTATTAACGAATTTAGCGGTGAGTGAAAGAAGTCGTAGTCGAATTGAACGAGGTCCTGGCTATGTAGTGGGTGCATCAAAATTTCCTAAGTAGATTCCCCTATTTTTGCCAGGTTGTGAGAAGAATGTGCGGTACATTAGTATACCATAATATTATTTTTCACGTTTCTTATTGGTAACGATGATCAAATACGTTCAATAGTTAAGTTTTTCGCATAAATCATTTTTTCGCATAGATCATAAAATCGATCCGACTGAATCTATTTTTAAAGCAACTCGGAAATTGTGATCTACAGGTTCAATTAAAAATACATAAACAGACATCAAAAGGAACGGGACGTACAGGCAGGCTGTCACAACTCTCTGAATCGTTTCAATTTAGAATAATTGAAAAATCCGTCTAATTCAAAAAATTTGGACTCGTTCTTTTCTGTTTACCCGTTCCCCTTAAATTACTAGGAAGTACATTGGAAGAAGTATTGTTTTCCTTATAAGAGAACACTTTTTCCACTACAAGCGTTCTGCTATAAAGGCCAAACAGAGCCAGCTGAGAAGAGTTTCATAGTTCGTGTGGTAGCATCCCACATCACTTGTCCTCTGCTGAGACGTATATCTTGGGAAGGTATAGTTAAGTTGGCTATCCGGGATCTCATGGGAGATCCAAAGGCGAAATTGACTATGATTGTGTAAAGCAATGCTAAAGGCTTTATGAGATGAATTAAAGCGCCACGTGGCCACGAAACAGGTACACGTTAAGCCATTTACGCATCACTGACCGTGCACCTCATCCCGGTGATGAAGTTCGCAACAGAGCTGTCGTAGAGAGAACTGGATATATAATATACATGTTTTCTGTGTAGCCAACTATTATGGAAGTCCGCGAATCACATGTTTTCAATGGATCTACGGCTTAAGAATCTGTCGATATTTTTCCTTCGATATTGAAAATCTATGGATAACAATCGGATGACAATCCAAGAAGTATTGACAATCTCTACACAAGAGTGCCTTTAAGCTGCTCAATTTCTGTTACCAGTATTTATCAAAATGGTTGTAGTCTAAGCCATGAGAACCACTGGTGGCAGGTGCTCACTTAAAGCACGCGCAAATCTTTGGTGCAGCATATTTTCGAGAAAATGCGACCGTGTCCCGCCAAATTGCGTTATTTGCCTTTCAAGCCGAGTGTCCAGCAAACTTTTAACGCAACTTATCATTGGCTTCTAATTTCTACTTTATCTTCATAAGAAGAAAAATCGAAAGTGTTAATGCTAAATTTGACGCGTCTCCTCGTTTATTGATACTTTCAAAAGCTCTTAAGCCTTTCACTAAATTTTGAACAATATTTTAAGAATTATTACTGATTTTTTTCTATATGTGAACTTGCTACATGTAGGCCTATGGATAACGGGTTCTTTTACTTAAAAAAGAAGATACTTCTATACGTCTGTAATCGATTTTTTCATAACCTTAACGGTTGTCCTAAAAAAGCTAAAAGAAAAAAAAAACGAATTTTGTATAGTCTGCTAGAGTATATCGGATTGATGTGCCTCACGTATTCCATTTTTGTAAAATAAATGTTGCCCTTAACGTAACGAGTAAGTAAAAAACACGGAAAGCAGACGTTCCCTCAGTTTATGTTGCACTGTAGGCGTGTCCTATGACAGGTTTGGGCCATTTTCAAGTTATTTTCAAATAGGAAGGCGATATTTTCAATGGGCCAGATGGACATGCTTAAATCGTTTTTAGAATTTGTTGTTGTATATTTGTTGGGGCTTGCGATGCTCTCTTCTGTTGTTGTTCTGGTGTTGCTAAGATTTTGACAAAATTTTGATGGTTATATTAATCGAATAAACTGCGAACGATATCCTGCCGCCATAGCATTATCCCTTAAGTAACTTTTTTTATTAGGTTCGTTTGAGATATGAACGGATTTGTTTTATTTTGTTCATAAAATCTCTTTGAAGTAAGTGACTGCAATCGCTTGCCGCTTAAGATCGACCTACCGCTGCGTTACATTGCATAATTATAAAATATGAGATAATATATTGCATTAGTCCTATGAGACCACAATAAATGTTAATATCTCAAATTTATCGATGAAGAAGATTTTTACAATTTTTGATATCCATTATTATATATTACAATTTGAGTACAATTGATTTAAAATGCTTAAGTAATTTTTTCTTCAATATATAGTTTCTTGTGTAATCTATTCAGTTTTATATGCACTAAAATTGATTTTCAAAGCATTTATTCCGTAACGAATCGATTATTTCTACAATTTATATATTAAAGGCACTAATCGATCGATCAGTCTGAATTTTTCTCCCTCTAAGAAAATATTTGCATTAATTGTGAACAAATTTTTCACTTAATTGAAAAGTGCCGAAGAATCGCTAAACCTAATCTGATCTGGTTTTTGCTGGTATATCAGCAATTAAACGATCGTTTTGAACTGTATTGAAGAAATTGTAAATTGCTAAAGTGTTCTGCTTAAGAAATTACCGATAAAATATTCTCCAACCGAATATTATATATTTTGCATCACTTAAATTTATGATGGGAATGTTTGTCTCCCCGTGAATCAAGGTAAGCTCAGATAGGTAAATGCTGATGGTGTTTCAAAAAACTTCGTTCACGAGCAACTTGCGCTCTTCTTTGATCGAAAGAGAAACAACAATTATTTTCTTTTCTATTGAATTTATATTGCAACATTTATTCTGATTCCATATATACAATTTTCTCTGTATGTATTTAATGAAAGATGTATTCTCCTAATGTTGATTACAAATGCTGATGGAATTAGTATTGGGGAAAGCTACAGATTAAAACTGACACGGTTTCAGATGCGTCTGCATCTAGTGTTGGTTACGTTCGTGCTACTGTTCAGTGTGGCGTGACAGCGTAGCTACATTGGATGCCGACGTAACTCACGCGCTTCCAGTCATTGTTACAACATACTGAATGAGTTTTAGCAACAGCGATTATTGACTACAATGGATGCTAGTGGCCGTTAAAAAGATTAAAGTGTAGATCGTTTGCAAGTTTGAATAGGACGGAAGTATTGGACTGGATATATATATAAGGATATTTTCGGCGAAATATCTATAGGCGGAATACCGTAAGCGAAGACGGACAGTTGAGCGGAAGAAAAACGAAATCAAAGATTATTGATGTACACTATGTAATGAAGTCATCGCAAGTGATAGATAATTGACTCCCAAGTAAGACAAAACATACTCATAATCCGCTATTTGACCGCGATTAGAGTACACTTTTTCTAGTACAGTTTCTGACATATATGCGTTGTTTCTATTAAAAAATTTACATTATTTTTGGAATATTCTATCTCTTTTCTTGTCATTTCGATTATTTACTTATTTCCAAGATTATAGAAAAATAAGAAGCATTAGCTTGAAAAGTGCGATATCATCTCACCTGTGTCGAAAACAATTTACTTCTTTTAAGCAAGGTTATACGGACTCCGACGTTGCTGAACGCTGTAGATACTTTGAAAAGTTACCTACACTAGAAAACAGCGAAATAGTTTTAAAAATAATTATCGATAATCCGAAAGTGAAGTTGTGGGAGTTCGCTGCCACGTCCATCTTGTAAATCAGGTCTCCCTGTCACAGGCTACTATCTATTTACAAATTTCAAAAGCGTATTCAAACGAAAAGTATTTGGATCAAACGATGAAATCATTGCAGAAACTGATGAGGACTTTAACACTAAACGTACCGCACGCGGTCAAATGACCGTTTTTAAAATTTCGTTTAAAATTTCTCGCATAAAACGTTATTGTATCATCATGTATCTTATTGACTTTTCCTAAAATATACATACAAACAATTTTTCAATGTTTACAACTTTTTTTAATGTGTATTTTCCGAAAAAAAATTATACCCTGTCTAGTCGACCGGGCGCGGTCATTTGACCGCTTGAAAAATTTATGTTATTTATGACTATATTCTTCGATAATCTTGTTCTTGAAATTGTTTTACGAGTCTGCAATGTAATTGTAGAAAATCTACAATCTAATCAATGTGTCCGACATTCGTGGAATATCAACTTATTAGACAAAATAAATAATATCGACGAGGATTGTTCGGAAGATGATCAAGAAGTTTACGGTATTGATGATGATACTGCAGAAAACTATTGTGACTTATGTGACAGTGAAACGGACGAAGACAAAATTTTGAATATACGTAGAGGACAGGAAAGAAAGTCATTTATAGTTAGTTCGGAAAGTGAAAATGAGGAAGAGATTGAAACTGCTATGAACGGAACTGTTTGGAAAAAAATAAAAGAAGGGTCTAACAGTGGAAGAACATCGATTTGTAATATTTTCAAGGAAATATCAGGACCGACAGGATACGCTAAACGAAATATTATGAAGGGCAGAGCAATTTCAGCATTTTCTTTGATTATTGATCATAAAAAGATTGTCCATATAAGAGAATATACGGAATCAGAGGCTTTTCGAGTGTTGAAAACGAAATGGAATTTATCTAAACAATAAGTTCGCATTGATTTCTCAAGTTTGG